TAAAAGTTACAAGAGAATTCTTGCTAGCTTAGAATAATGAAACATATATTAATGTTTTATGAATTATTTCAGAATTTTCCTGGAACAATTAAAAGAAGCCTCAGGTAGATTTCTGGCTGAGAAGCGACAAGCACAGGAGTCGATGGCTCTTCTTCAGATGTATGCAAGTGGTGGAGAGATGGAGCGAGCGTAGGCCATGTGGGGGGTGGGCGCCCTCACATTGGCTAATATGTATCGAGTTCGACGTCGCATATTTTATAAAGGTCGCCAACTACAACAAACTTTAATCCTTTTCTGGAATTGAGCCCATTACATTTATAGCGCAACGATCTATCGCGCCATCTATTACCATCATACTATTCATGAAAATTGAATGTTTCCATTGTCAGTGAAAATCTGGAAATTCTTCTATGCAGAATTTGAAAAGATCCAATGGTGAAGAAACACGTACAGGAACTGATAAGTTCCCATTTTTGACAGATGGTCAAAAATCATTTCTGAAGTATTGCAAGTATTTACTAAATATGTGAACACAGAAATTTATTAGCAAAAGAGAACCGCATTGAAAGTTGATGCTTGTCCATATTATAAGTTAATACTATAACGATATGTAGTTTTATTTTTTTGTTAATAGTCAGTTATTTTTTAGTATTTTTAATTTTGTGCAAATCGATGGCACGAGTACGCTTTAGCGTTATTCCTTTTCGTAGAAAGTGGCATAAGGAATTGCTTTCCTGCAAAATGAGATTCCAAATACAATTATTGCGTACATGCAATTTAGCCGTTGAATAATCTGAGTGTACTACATAAACAAAAAACTATATAGAAATATCATGTCAAAGAAAACATTCCGTCACGATGTTGTCATATCAGTATTAGCAAAAAGACGACACATTTGGTTTATGAACTTTTGTATGTAGATATATTATACCAAGTTTTAGTTCAACGAAGATCGATGAAATGTTTAAGACTGAATTTATAGAGAAAGAATGCATCCCCATTATGATCACCAATTCATTGTACACTAAATTTAGCGTTGTAATAGGAAAAAAAAACAATATCAGCCTTTGATACCAAAGTTATGCATTTGATAAAAAAAAAAAGCTGCAGAGGAAGAAGAAAATGCGCCAGTGTTTCTGTAAAGATTACGCATATGCATACAAATGTTGCATTAAAGTATTTGTATAATTGTATCTGTACTCGTTATAGATAGAAGCCAACTTAATATTCTAAAATATTAACCTAACCTTTAACATCTCTGCAATGATATTTACTTTGGATTTTAAATGCAGCAAGTTCAACGCTAATGTTTATTCTTTGCAGAAACACTCTTAACAGAATATCGTGACATTCTTTGATATATACCTTAACATCTGTATATTACAAAATAACATTTACATTTATTGTCATTTGGATATTTAAAATGCAACGATCAGTATATGTATACTTGATAATTAGTAGCAACCAAGCTGCGTCAGTAATCATATATTCGTTCTGTATGTAATTTCTAATGGTCTTTCTTTACGACGCATTAAAACGAGTAATATTTTACTGTAATTTTAAGACGTGCTAGGAAACAGTCGATACATTTAATAGAACTGCCAATTAAAGAGAACAACTAATGCTCAATAATATCCTACCCATTAAATCCTTTAAAAATAGTTCGTTTTTTTACTGATTTTTTTTTTATTTTAATCGATACTGGTATTTAATATATTGACACTGATTCTGTATTATTATTACAGTTATTATTATAATCGAAATATTACGTCCATAACATATTCTAACAAGTATCTTATACATATACATACATATTATCTTATACATATACTTATGTATATACATAAATTATGTTTTAATGGAATGTAGAAAGTTGGCATCTACGAGCTGATGCAAGATGCTTGAAGCATCCTTTGTTCGATTACCGGCGCTGCGTAAGTGACAGACAGCCTCTTGAAGAATAAGTTCACTTCTTAGCAGTTGGCGATTAATGCTTGATAATTCTTGAACGGCAGTACCAATCGTTTCCTCGGTCATTTGCATGAGATCTTTGTCCAATGTTTCGTTGCATTCATCTGTTCAAATATTACTTGCTCGGGCATATTAAGTGGTTTATAAAAAATATATGTAAAATACTCAAAATGCAGAATGCTTCTAAATAATTACAGTTTTAGGTGAGATTAAAACTACCTGAATCTGGTAGAAATCGACATTATTCAGATAATTATGTTATTACATATTTTTCTGTGTCAGAATTAATAGATGATACTCTAGCAATAGCTATGCGTATTGTACTACTACAGAATTAATAAAATGATGTTAATAAAAATAAGAATATTTTTACTTACGTAACTTTTTATGCAACAAACTGTTGTACTTTATGGAATATTTCTTAGACTTTGGTATTTTGATATCAGCGTAAGGCATACAAGCCATAGCATCGACTGCTCCACTGATACTGCTCAAACTTGTTCCATCTATCAAAGATGAAATTAAATTGGAAAGAAATTGTAATTATATAATAAAATGTTCAATCTTACCATCATCAGATTCTGGAGCCTCACCAGAAATGATAGTGCCACAGTGATTGGGACTCCGCACAGAAGGAAATCCTATACCCTGTGTGAATAATAATTTGTCTGCAAGATTTGTTTGTAATTCTAGTGTGTATTATAAATGATGAGATAAGTAGGAAGGTGTGAAGAATTTGATAAATTTGTTTTATGATAGAAGTGACATACAGTGGTAATGTTCGTATTGTCATCATCAGATTCTGGAGCTTCTCCAGAAACAACAACAGCCTTCAAATCCATATTAAGAATGTAATTTTGAAATTCTGGAAGTGACAGTTAGCTCAATAAAAGACAACAAGCCCAATAAAGTCAATTAATATTTTGCATTGTATACATTTCTTTCGTTCGCTAATAAGCTGAAAACGTAAATAAAACCACGTGACTGTGGGTCTGGCAGAGTGGGGACTCCCCCCGCTCCCCGTCAATGCTTTCGAAACAGTGACGCCATCAGTGGGAAAACGTCCAAGTTTGTAGTAATGTTAGTTCTATTCTTGACGCTAGATGGCGCCATCTAGCGTGAAAAGTGGGAACTAACGTTACTACCAACTTGGACGTTTTCCCACTGATGGTGCCACTGTTTCGAAAGCATTGGCGGGGAGCGGGGGGAGTCCCCACTCTGCCATGTTTTTGTAGCCATTTCATTCAATTATGATAGATAGCACTTGATATGATAATACTAATTACTCAATAGTTTTTAGTAATGTTATGATTTGGTTCTTCAGGTATACTTGAAAAGAATGTTAAAAAAATACGAGGTAATTTACAATTTAATAAGTATTTTAATGCAATAATATAATAATAATAATTATTATAATAATTAATAATATCAACTAATAATGTTATTAAATATTTTATACATGTACATAGTAATTATAATAATTCGTGTTTTACCATTAGGGAATTATTAGTGTTTAAAAGTAGCAAAGATTTTATGTAAACAGGTAAGTCTTTTTTGCACTATCAGTCCTTTGTTACAAAGAGTAGTAGATTTTTTTATTCCAACTGTGTGTTTTAAGTGGAGATGTAACAAAACAGCATTGGTATTAATTAAACAGCAATAGAATATTTCTTACAGTATGTTGTTTGTATGTACGATTATAAATATTTATCTTCTTACAAATATTATTTGTGAGAGTATCTTATATTGGCTATTGTTCTTCTTATCTATGCATATTGATAATTTTCAAGTTACCAGGCATGTTCAGGATTTCATAAGTAATATATATAGAAATTTTTGTTTCATTTACTTATGCTTCTATTTATATGTTTCATTATACTTGAAAAAAGGAACTTTTTTTGTTCACTTAGGCAAGTACAGCACCAAGAGGCAAATAATAAATTTGAGAGCAAATGCCGTTTGTAGAAAATATGTATCAGGATGAATACAAAAATTCAGTATTTCATGCAGTAATTACATTTCTGATGGTATTTATTACTTGTAATTATTCAAATTTATTAAATTTCATTAGACTATTTTATATTCTACAGTTTCATAAAATTTCATATAACAATAAAATATTGTTATTGATTGTACCTGCAGCATAAACATTGACTTTAAAAAGTTCATAATCAACTGTTTTTGTACAGATTAAAATTCCTCAAGTTTAATAATTTCATCAGTAGTGGATTTTTTCTTGAGGCTTACGTTTAGAATTTAGAGAAAACATATTTGTTTCAAGAAAAAGTAAAATAATTTCAAAATTAAAAATCTATTGATAGCAAATTAAAATACCATTATTTTTTTAATCTTTCACGATTGTCTTAGTTGCAATACAAGTTGGTTTGAAATGGTCTTCACACATGCTCTTGTTTAATTTTCACCAAGTAATATGTCTACAATTTTTATTTATGCAATTTTTAACTTTTTTCAAAGATTATATTTAAACGAAATTAAAGTTAGAAAGACTGGAAGAAACAGGAATTAAATGAAGAAGTATTAAATAGAACAATAAAAATAGTAACTAATACACTATATTAATATGTTGCAGAATATCAATACAAAATTGTAATTGTAAGATTCATTATTAGTTACTCTGAATAATTTGGAAACCAATCGACATTTGCCGCCTCTGGATTTAATATCCTGAACATTTGGTCACTGAATATAAGAAAGTATGTAAGATAAACGCACTAGAAGCGTATTAATAATACTGCGTCGAAAATTGTTACTTTGCAGTGTTTACGAACAAAGCAATATTTTTACAAAAAGAAAAAGTAAAGCTTAAACTTTATATAGTACTAATATAACGTGCTTTGCATTCTTTTTTTGTTCACGTCGACACATTTCGCGGTTATGTTCTCTGTATAAATGCAATTTATGTTTCGCGATTATCGAACCATTATAATGACAACACAGTTGGTTCCAAATACACGATGTATCATAGTAAATCACAAAATGTATATTTTTTTTTTAAGTGAACAACTAAATCGTTCTAAACGCGTACGATGTATTCGTGTAAATGTTTTTGTATAAAATGCGCTAACAATTAAATGTTCCGAAGTAACTTGTAGAGCGTTGACCATATTTTCCTAAAAGCATCTCAAGGAAAAAATGTAAGTATATAAATTGATGTTATATATAAAATAATTTGATAGAAATCGCTGTCTTTCGAGACACGGTGTAACAATTTCTATATAATAGGTATCGTTAAGAGGAGTATAGCAATATAAATTTTAAAACAATGCATAACGAGGGAAACTCTCCTTAGACAGTGAGAGGGTCGTTGCGCGGTTTGTTAACGTAGTGGGATAGAGTCTTCAATGGATTTAGCAATCAGCTTGGGGATCCCTTTCAACTCTCCAAAGAACATAACCTTCGTTTATCACTTCAGAACATCTACATTGCTATACTATTCTTTATCTAAAATTTATGTATAATTTTTAGTCATTGACGCGATATGACGTGCAGAACGCTACGTCAGGTAAATCCGGTTACATAAAATCTTTGGCAAAGGCATGATTAATCATTGACCCATGATTCTGTAAATATGTATATAATATTATTGTATTCCATAAACAGCTACTCGCCATTTGTTGTATTTTTTTTTTTTACATAATTTTGATTTCTTCCAGTATGAGCATTCGGAAACGATCTTGCTCGTGAAATGCACCAAGTTGACATTTAATATAACACGTTGGTGTTGTGTCAACCGACACTATCCCCCATTACTTCCGTCTCTGTCTCGTGCTTTGTGTGTTCTGATTCTTCGTTCACTTCTGATCCGCCGTGTGCATCTACAAATTCCTGATATCACGAAAACAAAATTGAATTAACGATATAAGATTAACATTTGAAGGTCAATCTGCCTGAGAAAAATTTATCTGAAGAAATTTTCTGGCTGAATCGAATATTTGCAAATAGTATGATATGAAGGAAAATATCACAAAAATAAGAAAAAACACATTTCTAGAATTATTTTAGATTAAAATTTAGGAATTTAGCAACATATAATAAGATATATTATTAAACTGGGTTTCTTACATCTCGAGTGGTATCGTCAATACTGCTTTCCTTGTTTAAAATGTCATCTGCGAACGGAGGAAAAAGTTAATTTATTACTTTTATTCATTCAAAAAATGTATGAAGTATGCAACGAACATTATCAATCTAAGTTCTGAAAAATTCAAAAAATGAGGAACTAACCGGGTTCCGTTTGCGTTTGGCTTGATGTGCAAGTTTCAGAAAAGTCACGACGTTGTATATCTGCATCCAGAGCGTGAAGACGTTCTCTGCTTCTACGTAGTTCTTTTCTTAACCTTTCTCGCTCCTCTTCTCTCTCTTTTATAATTTCCTATAATACGTAGGACAGTTTTCGGTAAAAAAAAAAGAGTAACCAATTTTGTTTCTCAACTATAATCTGTGAACTATTGGGTCTACTTCCTTGTACATTATTTTATTAAACTATGTATATAAATGTATACAATACTCACCAGTAATTGTGACAACTGAGATGTGAGAGAGTGGCATACTGGCTGCAAACTTGCGACTGACACCATCGGTTGCTGAGGATAAGGATGCACTCGTGGCGATGGACAACCAGTCGCCTCGCAGCTTGGTGTCGTTGTTAGTGCCGATGTACCACGCGATGCAAGAACAGTTTCCGTTTCGCTTACGTTTAACGCGGAATTTAGCATTCCTACTAGTTGATTCGCTAAAAATATAAAACGAAGTACCATAATCGGAACGTGCATGCTTTTTGTGTACCTCGTTATTATTTTCTTTTCTTTCTCGATTCTTACTCTATAGATAGTGCTTCGATAAAAAAAAAAAGTGTGTGACCAAAAAATATTTTCTTGTATCCTTATCATCTGTCCGGGAAAGAATTAATAATTCTAGAAAACTATGTGATTATTATTGCGCAAAGAAAAGTACCTTGACTAATAGCAGCGAGTATAAGCTCAGCAGGTTCTTTTTCGATGCTCGATGGCTCGGACGCCATGTCTGCTACATGCTCAAAATCTTCTTTTGGGATATTTAAGATATCTGCTACCAACAATTGTTTTTCTACCAAAGCTTGCTTAATTATTTCGTCCTTTCTTCTGAGACATTCTGAAAAATAACAAATTTTATTCCTTAGTATAAATCCTGTTTTTTTTTTTTGTTCTGTAAATCATATCACGATGCTTAGAGATAGAGCGAAGAGATACAAAACATTCAACCGGAAATATTGACTACATTATATAATAAATAAATAATATACCTATGGGTGTAAGTACCGGTTCTGCAACATGTACAGGTGGTACCTCTACGTGCACTTCGAGCGGATCTATTAATGATACTTGCGTACAAGTAACCATTCGCAGAGGTTCTCCTATACCTAAATCAGACAAATATATCTCGAATTAAAAAATATAAATACATGGATATACTCTGTAATTATTGTCTCTACGTTATAACACAAGATAATAGTTGAACCTGATGCAGAAGATTCGACTGGATGTTGTTGTTGCGGCTGCTGTTGTTGTTTCGTTTGTTCAGTCGTTGAAGGATCAGGTCCAGAGGTATTAGGTGCTTCTCCTTCATGTTCAATGCTCGTATCTTGAACAGGATCCTTCGGTTCTGTTTCTTGTTCCTGTTCCTGATCCGTTTTATCGGGAATATTGTCTTGTTCAGTCGAGGAGGTGTCTTCGACCGTAGGTCCAGGTTCTTCTGGCAGTGTAGTGGGTGGAGTAGGTCTTCTACCTTGTTTATCACGAGCCTTGTACGCTTCGGCCGCCTCTGATATATGTTTACACCATTGTTTACGCTCCGCGGGCGAGGCTGCTACTAAATCGTAAATCTGCGCTCCGTTCTGCGACGTATTGACAAGGTAGAGGGAATTCTTGTCCACGGCGTTGTGCCTGACGAGAACAGTGGATACCTTGACGATGGGGCTCAACACGGAATTCGCTTGATTCGTGTTGATAAACTTTAGCAGGTACTTTTCATCTTGCCGATGCAATAGAAATATCGTGTCGTCGAGCAACACGACGTGCAAATCGACGGGTTTAGCACGGTTCTGCTCGGTTCTGCGCCACTGCAACGGGCCTTCGTAAATCAGTTTACGCTTGGTGATGTCTAAATTCTTGAATTCCTGAACGGTCGGATGGTCGAACTTGTCGAAAGCGGATCTATCAATGGTGCGCTGGATCTCTGCCAGCCTTTGATAATCCTCGGCCTCGCGCACCGCCTGGTTAACGCGACTTACGATCTCCTTGCTTCTATCGAGGCTTCTCAGCACGGCGGCTCTCTCTTTCTCGCTGCTCTCCGGCGTGTACTTGGCCAAATTCTCGAACAGCAGGGGATACTTGGTCAATCTAAGCATCCCCGTCAGGATATGATCTTTGAGCTGTAGCCTCCGACAGAGGGGATTTGATTCGATCTCGTTCAAAAAGGAATTCAATTTGGGATCTTTGCGACGACGATCACGCAGAGCGTCGAGGGCTACCTGCTGTTTCGCGCAGTATGTCGACGCAGCCTTCTCGAATGCCTCGCCGTTCTCACCGTCGAACATGTCCAGGAGCAGATCGCCAACGTCTCCCATGCACGGGTTTTCTTTTTTCTTACGTTTCATTGCTTGATTGAAGCGCGAATGAATCGTTACCATCTCGTCTAAATTGGAAAATAGTAATTGTATTTGGTCTAATGGAAGTACTTGAGATTCCAGAAGCGGCTTGTGGAAGACGTGCGACAATACTTTCAACGCCCGCACGTGCGACCTCTCGGTATGGAAGAGTTCTGAAACAGAGCATGGCGAACATTCTGTTAGGAATATGTTTTACCATTTTAGGTAAATAGTAGTAGAGTAGTATAAGAAAATCTATGAGAATTGTGTATACAATATATAAAATATCAATAATAATAATAATATATATATCCGATACCAACCATTAATGACTTCCTGTCGCTTCTTCTCGGCATTGCTGAGACGCGCGAGCAGATCCTCGGCGACTCCTTGGCTCCAGTCCGGTGTATCCGGCTCGACATCAACATCGCTGTCCCACGAGGTCGATGTGTTCGTCGCCGAGGTAGAGGGGTGCACCTGCTCCAGGCTGGTACTTGGGCTGTCCAGACTTCTCGTCGACAAGCTGCTGTTCGACGAACTGCCAGCGGAGTTCCCAGGGAATGTCCCGGTATGTTCGCAGTCACTGAAACCAGCCCTATAGTCAATCGTTAGCGAATTATGGCATTCTACGTTTAAACTGTACCCCGGCCGGTTCAGCCACTCGAAACCTTTTCAATGCTTAGAAGTTCATCCCTGATACGATTTACGTGACATTCGCGCGTCATTGTTGACCGTGCTACAATTGAATTTTCTTATTTCGAATATTAGATACTTTCATCGAGGTCTGAAATGATTCGATTACACGATCCTCTAATTATTCCAAATTTTAGAATTGTTTGCGTAACGGTACATAGAACCAACGATTACAGCATGAAATATACGTACTATGAAAGTGCGAAACACTACGCACCTTTATCGATACGAAATTGTGTTAAAAGACATGGGAAAATAAAAGAATGGCGCACTGCTCCGTCGAACTTAATTTGCTAAGTATGAGCCTGTTAAGTGCTCGAAAAATTAATTTGTCTTCTATTATTAATATCAATTAGTTATACATTACCCAGTACGTTAATATTATTAGTACCTAGTATTCTTTAATAATTCTTTAATAGATTCACAGGAAAGTAACGTGGCGGATGTGTACCTCTCGGATCTCGTACGGCGTTCATTAACACCGATGCTCTCGTGATTGGAGACGTCGTTCGGGACTTGAGAGAGTCGGTCCTCGACGTTCGAGCACCCTGGCGAGATATCGTTCGACTGATCGAAGGGAGAAGACGGTTCCGTGCACGATATTGGACTAGTTAGGTTTTCGTTGCCGCGAGAATTGGGTCGAGGACGGACGCGTCGAGAACCACGTTGTCTCATCTCTTATATCTCCTTAGCCCTAAAGGGCTTCCGCGATGGGGTAAAGCTGACTGGCATGAGCCGCCTTCTACTGCGAACGCGACGGTACGCGAGGGCACACTTCTCGTGTCTTTTTGCTGCAAACAAGCGCGAAAACGTCACGTCGAGAATACGCTGCGCTGAATTTCTTTTTTACCCTCGAGGTCGGTAATACCTCAGCGCCGCCGAGTCACGAAAATGGCATGATCGTTTTCGTTTAACATGTTCAAGTCGCAACACCGATGAAATCTCACGGGCACGTTTCTCGATTGGGACAATTTCAAGCCTCGAGTATCGCGTTTCAGCCCGAGATACACGTCTGCCTCGCGTTGTTCGTAAATAGTATTTAATTTATTTTTCGTCATTGTGCGAAGTAAGTCCTGGTTTAATTAAAAATTGTCCCACGAAAGTGCCCAATGAGAGTTCAGTTACATAATCCTGTTTTTCTATTTTATTATTTAATTTATACACACAATTAACTGCAATCAAAAGGATCCGAGTACAATGCAAAACTAAACGATTATAACTGTTGTAAGAAAGGGTAATTAAAACCTGTACTCGATGATAACGTATATCAACAAGAAAAATTGTTTTCTCAAATACTAACACAGAATCTCCCGAATAATAATTATGTTACTGCGCTATCCATTATCTCACGGAAACGTAAAATTTTTTTTACATTCTGTTCTATGAATTCGTTTCAAGGCTAAAATTTTCCTGACAATTAAATTTCTAACTGAATCACCTGGAGCCCTAAGAGTAGCAAAATAAAAGGATCGTATCTGCTTAAAGGTTACGCGTTCTGTTCCCGTTGAAAGTCGGTTAGCAGTGCATTGGCATTTTGACTGACTTGTCGCCGTTATGCCATTACACGCACCCCTTTATGCTGTTACAACACGAGCACTAAAAGGGCGAGGAGTCCCTACGAAAATTTGTATTCTTATAATTTTTGTGCGAGGCGATCGGATAACGATAACTAAAAATTTTCTTAAAACGATATGAACATCGAGAACGTGCACAATGACTTCTATAAGAGAGCTCTGTAAATGGTTAAATTTGAGTAGAGATTTCAATGTACAAGGTGTTTCGGAAATAGCTGTGATGTAGGTTTTCGTACGCTTTACTTAGTTTTCCATTAAATTGTCGTCACAGTTTAACGTAATCGGCGCCACTCCTCTATTACCCGATCTTTATTATTCGCTCCATGAACTGCTTTTCGGTGTGTGTACGTGTACTCCGATGAACTTTTAATTTAACTCCCGACGATGCAAAGCGTAATCATTTATTTAATATTTCGATACAAGCATTCCTTTTAATTTTAATTTAGATCTTGTTTGAAAATCACCGTTCCAATTTTCAATTATTCTTTTCATGTATTCGTTCGTATAAACATTTTCCGATTACGGACCAATAAGTTCATTATCGCATTAGATTTCCCGTGATTCAATTTTCCCGTCGATCGGTGTCCCACTTTCGCATCTGTAACGATCGGGAAAATTTCAGCTGGATCTGTCCAGGTTTTTCATTTATCCGAAGTAATCGAATAGTGGCTGGCAAGGTGTACCGAGTATAAACGAGAACTTAATCGACGTCGATCAAGCTAAGCCTTATCGAAGCCGCTCCTTCATCACTTTAATCAACCCCCTAGATATAGAAGCGACATCGAGTGCGGGTGATACGCTGCCTTGTGCATACAGTCGTACGTAGACATCAATGGTACCTGTATTCTTCCAAAGAGTAAAATCGACGTAGCTCTCTGTCTCGTACACCGACACCTCCTTTAACAAACGTTTGCTCAATGAATGTTTCTAGTAACAGCTGCAAAAAGAACTGTCGTTTTTTGTCAACCAGAAACATTCTGTCCGCATTAATCACGTACGGTTTACCATCGATTTCTACCCCGACAGACCCATCTAATTAAAATCGTTCTGGAATCCTTCGAATATTTAACCGTTACTTAACCAAAGGAATATTTTGTGTATGGCACAAATTTCCGAAACGGAAATATTATCTTTATACTTCAATTAATAAATCAATTTTTAGAGTTTCTGCGATGAGACGCGTGAATTTTATTAATTAAACCACAGGATCGAACATCCTGTAATGCACTGAACGTTGTAAAGAGTCTCTGTTCAGGGCATTTAAGATTTGAAAAGAAACAACTGTTAAACAATTGAATTACAGAACGGCAGAGACTCGCGCGGAGAATCGGGGTCCTGTAGGGCAAGGAGTCTGCAAGAAGCTGAGCCTACGGCCGATGGTATTGATTCGAAAGTATCGATTGCTTCAAAAATAAAGGCCAAGACATCTATCTCTGGCCTGGTATCACTTTGGCCCCCGTTTACCGGCGTGCACACGTACCATGACCGGATCGATAGAAACGGATCGCTTTCTTCTTCCTCCCCATTTGTACGCAATCGATCTTTTTTTAAAGCCAGACGCATTAGCCGGCTAATTCCCGCGAATCGTACTAATAGCCGTGAGATATCAACGAAACTCTGTTAAATATGCTCTTAACGTTAAAAATAAATCCCACGGCGTTTCCAGTCCCACGAGGGCGTAACACGCTCGCGACGGAATATCATTTTTCCTTTGTGCGTTGCAAAGTGAAACAACAATCTTGGATTATATTAAGTGCTTCGAGAAACATTACCGCGCCTGAACAAGCTAACAAAGGCGAAATGAAATCTTTACGGTATAAAACATTCCGTTTCCATGCAATTTACACGCATCGATATTTTTTTTTTTTTTTTAATAATAATAATAATAATAATAATAAAGCAGATACATTAGTAAAACCAACTGACGACTGGGAAATATTAATAGGGCTGTACTAAAAATACCCGAGGGATTGAAAAATAAATCCTCGGCTCCGTTGCATTACAATTGGAATCCTTTCAGGAATGCGAATCTTTTCGATGACGAAATGTCACTTTGTACTGGGAAATTAGAGGAAAATCTAGAATTCTTTGGAATTGTAGAATTAATTGCGCTGGGTGGAAACTTGTTTAGAGTAGAAATGAATAATATTTGGAATAGAGCGAAATTGATCGTGTACGTTTTCTAATCGCTACCAATTGATTTTAATTACGACGGTGGGTGACCCGTATATCGCGTTGCTCTTCGCAGAAACCTATCCTTCCATTACGTGGAGCGCGTTCCTTCTGACTTAATAATTTTCATTGAACTAATAGTCTTCGTATCGATTTCGCGTGTCGCGAGCTTCAGCTGCGTCTCAAATTTGTTTCTTTTACGAATATCGAACGTATATCCAATTATTTCGCGAAAGAATTTCTAATTTCATCCAATGCCAGTGTCTATTTTTACTAACGGTATAGCGGCAAGAACGGTCAATAATTGCAGCGCGATTGAATCTCCCGATGCAATAAAATTTGTTTTAATAAAGAGATGCTAATTGAATACACAGTTAACCCCATGTTGGGTTAATGTAATCAAGTGTTTCAGGACGATAAAGAAGAAAAGGACGCAGCGATAAAAAACGAAAGATATCGTACCATTGTTGACGGAAGAGAAAGCCGTAAAAGAAAGTAATTAACCATAATGTACTTCGCTTGAATTAGGATCCAGCATGTTCGTCTGCATGTTGTATCGAACAACCATAAAAATGTCTTTCTGAATTTGCCGTTTAGACGTTGTTCCAAAATAAACTTTGAATTAAATCAATCAACTTAAATCGAATGAACTCAATCACAGTATGTTCGTATTGAAAATGAAGTCTGTTCGAATAAAACCAATACCATCTACTATAAAATTACGATCACGTTCACTTAGTCTCATCACGTATCTCCCAAACTTTAAATTTACAATGAAAAAGAAGCTAGCTTTGTTTATTTAAGTGCGTAACTATAAATTTAGTTATTGCACTGAATTCATATATAATAGTACAATTATTTACATTCTTCTCGACATTACTTTGATTCACATAACTCTGACTCTAGCCCCGGTACCTCGGGGTTGCTTGCCCGAGGGTACAAAATAAGAGAAGTAAAGAAAATTACATCGGCACGGTATAAAATGAAAATTGGCTCGTCGATGTCAACAGTGCGTACTATGCGCGTAAAAATTGTTCCTTTTCGGTCGCTCTTCGTCTCGAGAAGACTTATAACATTCCTATTTCCGACGCAGACCGTCGAGGCACCTCCGTTATTTCGCAGCGAGCTCGCTACGTCATCGGCTTTAATTCATCAACAAACCTGTTGTATTTTTAAGAAGCAAACGTATCCGTGTTAGTGGCTCGATATGAACGATATCACGAATTAGCGTCGTTTCGTTAAATCCAGTAATAAACGCACAATGACGAAGACACCACCGCCAACGGGTTATTTATTTATCGAGCCTCGACTCAAAAGCCACGACGTGCTTTTCATGCTCCGTCAAGTAAAAGTGAACACTGTAGTTGTTCTCGACGAGGTCAATAATCCCATGTATCTTTTCTTTTCCGAAAACAATTCGAATACACCAACGATTTTAAGGCGCACGTGGAAATCGACGGGACTCGAGGCGCGCCGTTCAATTTTTAGGTAACACCCTTTTCATCCCTTCACAGTAAACTATTGCCACGACGATAACTGGTTTCACACGCGAATTCACGAACTTGTTGATGAATGTCTGGCGAAATGAACAGCCCGACTCGTTGGGGTATCCCTATATTCCGCGCGGCACACTTCGACGTTATAAAATGGAAGAATGGAACTTGGAAAGAGCATCGCGGTGAGCAGGCCGAGCGAAAATTGATCATCGCGACAGGTGAACTATAATTCTTGTAGCAAAACTTTTCTGAATTTTCTGGTTTTTTTGGATACGATGTTGATCGGTCTCTCTCTTTTTTTCTTTTTTTTTTTATGGATTGAACGCGAATCATAGGCCAGTCCTATAAGCATTTGTACTCTATGTCTATCGAAGAAATTTGTCTAAACGAAATGATGGGTTTGACGTTTCTAAATAAATTATTATGTATACAAGGATACAACGATATTCCTGAGCAAAATAAAGAGTACAGTCAATTGTTCCATTTATTAACATTCAAGTTTAACGTAAAAGAATTCTGAATTCAACGAGCGATGAATATTTTCTAGCGCCGAGGACCAAATAATTGTGTACAATTTTTTTTTTTTTTTTTTATTAACCCAGTCAGAATATTGTCTTTAAAACAGATCTCGTTTTCGTTTACGAATATCGAAAAGGATCCACGCTTTTCGTCTCGCATTACTAAGCGTTCCCAGAAAGAATCATTTAAATAGCGTTTAAGCAAATTAAAACCAAACGAGGTGGATGTCATCACGTAATCTAGCAGGTCGCGTTCGGTTGAAACGCGCGATAACCAGATGCTCCGATGGGCATCCGTAACATTTTTCGAAATATTCCTGAACTATAATAAGCGTTGATTTTGGCAAACGTAATTACGTCTAACGACCGACGCGTCATTAAGTACAAATCCTGCTAGATCCAAAACACAATTTAGCTCGACTAAAACAAAATTAATATCATCGTTCACTTTGGACGTTCTAAGCGTGTCTCGTTTTTATCAAATCTATTTTCTGCGTGTGCACGTTTCTTCGCACTTCCTTTTCCTTCGACTTCATATTCCGGAAATAAACTTCTGAACTTGACTTTTTCTCGCGTTCGTATCACTTTTCAACGATACGACGAACACGCGATCGACTTGCATAGAGAACGGCTTTGAAGTGCGTCCGACGAATAGACGCTGTTTTTCCAAGCGTTTCGAACATTTATTACCGACGCGCGAAGGCATTAAAGTCACCATTTCTAAAATGACACGAACCTTCCGGCCGACTTAATACCTTCATTTGTCATCGCGACACATCTTTTCTTCCCTATAAAATCGCCGTTTTCACAACTCATCGTCGATTAGAGCGAGATTCGTGTTGAAGCGTACATAGAGGGTGCATGATGATGAAACTCGATCCTTAAACAAATTCGTTTAGATAGAAAACCGTTTTACAAAATGTCGAATGGATCTTTATTTTGCTCAAGATAAACGATTGAACTAGGAATACAGAAGCTATAGATTCTGTAATTTATCTAACACCAGAAAGGATGGTAAATAAACTACCTCATCGCTGCCTGATAAACCAAAGAATCCCTTAAATCCTCTATATAACATTTCAACTACCCATTTCGAAATAGAACAGCTCAAAAGTTGGACATTGTAAATAGACAGTCGGCACGGTTAATAAATCTCCGAAGATAAATACTGTACTCAAAAATCCTATAAATATCCCCATAGATAAAATGCTAAAACAATTTTATAGTCCTAATCCCAACGATCGCTTATAACAATCGATATTTCGCAATGTTTACTACAGTTACGTAGTCGGTTGTCATAAATTGTACGTAACAACGGTTAAATAAATCGTGAAAAAAGAAAAAAATTACATAAGCGAACGAAGTTAAAGGTTCGCCATAGCAATGAATCACTTCTCCGAATACATGTTCGTGATACGTTCGATCGAAAGACAGTGGCGCAAAAGGTGTCACGCGTCTCGGAAGGTGAGTCTGCGAGGGATGGAATTGATCGATATCCGAACGAGTCGAAATCGTCACTGGCGCACGATACGCGCGACGAAACGGACAAAGACGGCCGTCGAGAGGAAATTGCGGACGCGGGATCGCCGATCGAAATCGAAAACGTTTAGGGGGAAAACGTAACGGGCGGACGCGTGGGTGTTTCGTACTGTCGAAGCCGCGCAACAGCCATCCGCGGAATTGAACGTTTAACGTCAGACTGAAGGCCTTCTGGCTGGCAAACACACCTTCGCCACAGGAAGAGAGAACGGAGTCGAGTCTGCGCCGTTTGCACGTGGACGGGGATCTAGAGCGTCAAGAAACGAAAAGTCGCTTGGGAAGAAGAAGAAGAAGAAGAAGCGGAGGACTCTGCCAAAAATCTATACACGGTGTGTCGGAAAAATTCCAGGGCCGGGTAAAAGCTGGGAATAGTACATTCCGTTTGATTTCGGTAACGAGACCGTCCCGCGGAGCCACCGAGCGGGGCATTAATTCCTCGCGCAAATAAAACAATCGGAGACGCTGAAGACCACGGCCATTGAGCACGATCCAATCGTACAAGTTCTCTAATTACAAAAACGGAGTTGTGTATAGAGTAAAATATAGAATGCATGTAAGTTGACCTTAGTAGTTTTAGTGTTAACAGTTATCTGCAAGGAACATAATTCCCGCTAAATTAAGTACGAATATCAATGAAGATATTAATACTATTCGAATTCCTGGATCACGTGGCCCTAGAACTGTTTAGACACATTTCGTGTTTATTCGTTCCAGCCAGTCACGGAAAAGCTAAAACGCAAAATGATGGTGCCTCAAGGTTGCCGGAATGCAACGTACACGTGCGATTCCATCGATGTGATGTTCTTACTAAAAAAACTGCGCAAACTTGCGCATCAGCAGTTTTCGAAAGAAGATTTCTCAAAATCGATATCATTCTTTTGAAGGTAAAATCGAAACTCGAACAATCTAACTTCTCTTTAATCGAGTTGTTATTGTTATTCGAGCTCCAAAAATAGCAACGTTGTTTCAGTAGCGAACTTTTAATATTTCTTGAAATTTGTTGAAATCGATAAGAAATAGTCATTATAGAACTGTCAGCTATTCGACTTTAATTATTTTATTCGATTTCATAATTTAATTTGTAGATACAATTTTAGAGTTCTCCTTTATTTGATTGTTACCAATGTTTCAGATTTGGTACCGAACTTTTGAAATTGTTTGAAATTGAATTCACCTTTTAAAAATACAAATTACAGAAATTCCAGTAATTAATCCTATTTCTCAATTATAGATCAGACTTCAGATTTCCGCACAACGAAACTGTGTACAAATGAACCATTGATCGTTTCAAGAATAATCCTTATTCATAGCGCCGTATAAATGTCAATTCGAAATCCAAATTCGTTCGAAATAGCCCCGCTTTTCGTAACGTTTCTATTTTGGCAATTACACAATTGCGCAAGAAAGTAGCAGTGACAGTTTGACGGAGCGGTTGGAGTACTTTGATAAATGATTTGTTCCTGGTATGTATATAAAAGTGCGAGTGTTTTGCCGAAGAAAAAATTACGCAGCTCTTTCGGATAAATTATTGACTTTCGAAGAGTACACGTGTTGATGTTACTTCAAACAACGTAACTGCGCGTACCGCAAAACTAGCGTTAACAAAGAGTAAACGTTTGAGTGTAAACTGTTCAGACCTCGATTAAATGGTTGTATATGTTGAATTTTACGCATGTAACGCTGTCTATAAATAAAAATACGAGAAAAGAAATTAAAATCCATCTTTTGATAAACGAAAAGGAGAGTACTTGTTATTTTACAATCGCCGTATCTATGTGCAATTTATATGCTAAAGATTATTCGATTACAACAAATTATACGAATATTCTAGCATTTTCCACAAATTTAAAAATTGTTAGAACAGCTTGGCATTTCGTCAAACTCCGAAAACTTTATGAAAACATGGAAATTTGTATCAAGTAAGGTATTAGGTTGCTCCGAACCCAACACATATATGTATCTATTTGTACGATTAGAAAATAGTTAAGATATTACTCACTTTGTTTTGGAGAGGTTTGGATCGCTGGTCTTCCTCTTTTCCCGCAACTGTCGCTGCAATGAAAATAGTTACAGCGATACTTAGAACCACATACTAATCGTACATCTTAGATTGTATCACTCGAATCGGAATTTCGTTTCAATGGAAATAAGAAAATAATTTTCGCGAAACTCGACTAACCCGCTTTGTATCTAACGATTCCAATTCGTCGACGAAATAAACTATTTTTACGCAACGGAATGTAACTTGAGAAAAATAATTACGATAGAAATTTTGAATTCTCACCTTGTGATGTATCCGCTCCTTGTAACTTTCAGACCTGTTTATGTTTGACGTCTTTGGCTTACTGGAAATATTTTGCTGCACCCTAAGTAATCGTAATTAATTAAGCGTAAATTAATATCTATAACAGAAACGAGCTAAGCGACTGCAAATGAAAAAAAAAAAGAAAGAAAGCGGAGACAGTGCTAGCTACGATACTAATTGTAAGTATATTTATAAACACAAGTCTTTCGTTATTTCTAACGAATATGTAACTAATGTGTCCGAAGGATTTTGCACGTTTAAATGTACTTTGATTAAATCAGTTCAACTGATAATGTTGAAACTGTGCGACTCTTTCTTAAGGTTCCAATGTAACCGGATATAAATGAATTATTAAAGTAAGTCGGAGTGCATCATAAAAAAAATAAAAAAAAAAAAAAAAATAAAAATAAATTCTTTCCAGTGATATCACAGAAATACGAAAAACATACATTTCAGAAATATCTTCTCGCGAGGAAGGATTGTCCATGCTATCGGCGTGATCGGAGGCTCCGCTGTAAGCGGAAATGCGTCCTCTTTCGCTACTACTACGCGCGTTTCCGGCTACACCGCCCCCGCGAAGTTCTCCTGAAAACATGAAACAAACGAACGCATTCATTAATTGTTTCCATACCCGCACCACTCTAATACTCATTCAAGTAATTTGCTAGTACACGGTCGAGTTGGCCGTCATTCGATAAAACATTTAAGTAGATTAGATTATTTAGTAAATTACTAGCGGCGTTCATTATTTGTGTGTAATACTATGTATCGATTCGTTATCGATCAATTATTCTGTTATTAAACGTAGACAAAATTTTATTCGTACAGAGAATAATATTTTACCTGTAACCAAAGTTTTGGTCTTGTGAGAGTTTTAATGAGCGAATAATTCAATAATGAATTATTTTATTATTCCGAATTCAGATACAGACAAAATTTCATTAATACACGCTTCTTTGGTCTGCAAACATTTCGACAATAAAGTTTCGTAGAATACTCTGTATTTCAGTTTCAGTGTAGTATAAATATTGATCTGTACGCGTGAATTGAATGGCACTTTTGCTGCACGTCGTTCTATATCTCCTTTCTGCCGGTGAATAAAAGAATCTAATAGGAAAAACAATAATGGCGCGATAGAGTCTTTGACACGGCACAATTAAATTATTTTGATTCGCACCGATGCACCACAAAAAGGCCATCGCAGATACGTTTTAAGCGAAGCCATCGATTTTCGATACTATAACAGGGTGCATGGCTGTTCGATGCTCTATAGCCCGTATACAAAATTTTTGTTTTACTTTCTCGATTTATTTTTCCATATAGAACCCAGTCGATCATTCGTTGTATCGCTCTACGAGTTTATTTCCCATAGAAATAAAATAAAGATTCGTGGAATTTGAAACGAGAATCGAAATTTTGAACGAATTAAAGGAATCGAACGGAAGAACTGCAGCTAACGAACAAATAAAGCGTTCCTAAACAAATTCCTATTTAGGTTCAATTCTTGTAGGCACGTTCGCCAAGATTTTATTTTGCGTAAAGATCCGCCGTCTAGTCATAACAAATCGCTCGGAAATTACCAATTTTCGAAACAACTTCTCTCAACTGTATCATTTGGTAAAAAGTACAGCACCAAACGGCACATAATAAGCGAATCGGGTTTTGTTTGAAAATCACGAACGATAGTTGCACCGTATCATCGAGATAACGAAACTCAAACGAATATTTCAATTTCGCTCGTCTATTTAATGCGCACCAGCATCGAATTAACACGGACCGCGGTGTCTGGCATTTCTCCAAGTATCCAGTCCTATGTGGAGGCTTATCAGGTAAGGAATGCGGCTCAGGGTAAAAGCAGATCGCGAGAGTGCGCGTGGATAGGGTTGCTACATTAATCTTTAGTTAGACAAACATTCAGATCAAACTTGATTTATAACATCGATATCCTTCTAAATCAATGAAAACGTACTAACGGAACAATTTCCTAGTTACGGAGGTAATACGCAGCTAAGCCAGACGAAATTTCTAACGTTACTATTCTTGTTCGAACCAATGTACCTATGTTAATTGTTCATTTCAAGTTTGTCGATAACTTCTGCTTAATAACACAAAAAATGAGCGAATATCATGCATTCATATACAGGGTGCGTCAATACAGTATTACAGTACAACCAAGAAGTATTTTATTCTTCGTGCAAAAATAAATTAAAAATGTAGAACAATATTTGTTCGCATGATCTTTCACCTTTAATTTAACCTAAAATTAATTGTATACAGTCCAGAAACAGTCTGGACGTCATTCGCATTGAACTCTGTACAAGAAGCTTCGCGTAGGTGACGAGTAAGCCGATCAAACGGTTCACGGATTCGCTGAAAAACAAGGTGTCAGCGTTTTCCTGGACTCGTACAGCTTAAATGGCTGAATAAATATCCAATGGAGTTTCCCTACCACCTAAAAATACCGCGGCGAAAAAGTTGGCGCTTTTGAACCCCGTAAGCAGACAGATAGTTATAGATCAACCGGGGGTAGGTATGCCGAGGGGGTGCAGCGAAGGAAAAGCTTAAGTCTCGAGTATTTTTAGATGGGGCGACGTAGGCGCGTGTCGCAGAGGCCGGAAACCGTTTTGTGGGCCCCTCCTTCCCGTTTTCTTCTTCGTTGTTGTCGTTGCCGTCTGCGCCCGTGCCGCGCAACATCTCTCTTATTTTCCTTCCGTCCATTCCGACGCATACTTTTCAATGATAATTTCGGCAACGACACGGACACAGGGTTCGTTCGTCGAATACGATCGACCGATCCGAGGCTTTTCCAGAAATGCTATCGGGATTTTATTTTTCAAGGCTGTTGTTTTGAGATGGTCACGGTCGAACGTATAAATGGAAACTTGTCAACCCTTTGCACTCGAGGCCTTTTTTCCTGGTATCTACCAGCAACTCGAGATGCTCTCTTAGCATCTTTCTTAGCATTCTATCGACACGAATGCTAAGATTATATTGACTTCGAAAACGAGATCTCTAATTCTATTGGCACTTCGAGTTACAAAGAAATGAAACCCAAAGAAAACCTAGCGGTGACTGAGAGTCACCTCTCGAGTGCAAAGGGTTCAAGTACAGACTCTGTGTTCTCATGCGCGTCCGTAATATGTCGATGCGTGTATCTACACATAAATTCGTAATACTCGAGAAATGATTGTGGCAAAAATGCTGACTGTTATCGCGCGACTTCTCTACGTTCAGTTTCGGATTTCGGATTCGACGATATCGAAAAAGTTCATTTAAAAATTATACAATATTTGTCAGTGTCTGTTTAAACGTGCGAATATTATTGAAGAAAATAACGATTAGTTATGTAGTCTAACATAATTGGATTTGTTACTGTGCTACGTATTAAATACAGGACGAATACATATATTCTTGAAACAAGCATTTAGAGACATTAAATATACGAATTAAACCTTGAGACGCCCCTTTATAGTATTTCAAAGTTCACTTTGGAGTTCACTATGTAATCTCCTAGATTACAGGAGTTATCAATGTATTATACTGAATGCAAGGTCAAGAAGCCTGTGTTTCTGTCGGAGAAGAAAACTGACAAAAACAATGTCGATATACGATTTCGTATTCGAAAAAACCGTGCGTTTGACGAGTAAATAAAAAAAAAATTACTTTTTTAAATTTAAATGCAGCGTAATATTCGAATTATCCCCCAAAAGTGTGTTTCAGACCGAAAAGCTTACATCTCGGTCAAAAAAAGAAAACTGACACGAATAATGCAGCTCCTATAGATCGCACCTCGAGTCGTCTAAATAGTTCTAATAGTCTAAATAATTATCTACGATTTCCAATAAATTCTGCTCTAATTTCGTCTAGACACGGAGTATTTGTACAGTCGCAAGGTTATGCACGTATAAAATGTCGAAGTGAAGTCTCGAAGTGACGGCCGTGCCAGTCGTTCGACTTTATAGGTGCACGAAAATTTATGAACGCGTCTGGTAACACGTGGCACGAAATTTCCATTGGACGGCTTGTTAAAACTTCGCGGATCTCGTTTCGAACTACGGCCTAACATCGAGACTTTTCTTCATATGGAAATATACTCGTTTCCCAGCGAGTTTTAAACTCGTCAAATTATCGGAGAAAATCCGGCGAATCGGAAGTCGTCAGCACGATTGGAATTTATGATTAATCGGATGGGCAAAATAAAAAGCCTTCGGCGTCAACGAGAGTTCGAGCATTGATGAATTGCTAAACTATTAAGGATGCAAGAGTAAAAAAGAAATAAAATTATAGCCAGACATTGTTATAATGAACAGCTATGTAGCGATGTAATGTCAGCGATGAACAAACAGCTGCAATCACTTTAATTTACATATATTCCCGTACAATTTACAACGGAAATCAATTTTTGTATCGAATAGAAAAACTGTAATTGAGATGGAGTCTATTATTATCGCTACATTAAGGATCTTTATGGAAAATAAAATCTTCTCGAACGTGACCACAAAAATTTAACCTAGATAGGAATTTACTTTATTCTACAAAAATTATAACACGAACTTTACTTTCGATTTTACAATGACCTGATACCGAGTGTATTGTAATTCATGCAAGTAAATTCATACAAATAATATTTAGCTATGTAGCAAAGTTACTGTTTCCTAATTTTTGTTCCTAGAATGGATGTTTCATTAAGTACGGAGAATGAAGAAAAACGGGAGGTATGTTTAACTCATCGCTGATATACTGAGCAGTGACGATAGTAAGTGGTGGTTATGACGACAAAGAATCGTCTTACTTTTAACACTTTCCTAACCGCACTACTTTTGTAAACTATGCATGATAATATGATTTGAGTTTCATGACTCATCGTGTCTCAATTAGACAAATCGAGGACGAAGTTTTTTGTAATATATATATATATCGACACTTCGAGCTCCAAAGAAATGAAACCTAAAGAAACATTAGGTATTGTAGATTTGCTGCGCGAAACCTAATGGTGACTGAGAGTCATCTCTCGAGTGCAAAGGGTTAATACCTATACCTAAGAATTCCAGAGTTTACATCGCGAATAAAAAAACGTGAATAGAGGTGAATTTGAAACAAACCTGACTCTTTGTCTAGGGCAATGATGTTCTTCACGAGGTCGTAAACCTCGCTCAAAGAATTCGACTCATCGTAGAGCGCACTGTCGTTTAAATTCTCGCAACACGGTGACACCTTCACATGATCCAGAGCAACGATCGAGGCCGTCTCTATGATGTCGCGTGGTACCCGGGTTTTCCTCACGGCGGCAAAAGTTTCCCATACTTTTGCAGCTATCGAGCCTTTGCCCATGTAGGGCACCGCGGTCCTCGGCTTCACCGTTTTCAGTTTCGTTTTCTTCGCAACTTTGTCTTTGCTCACTTTCTCGAGCACCACTGTCGTACCTATTCCGATCGATATATATATCTTTTCTAGATTTCCGGTGCTCCGGTTGGGATTCGAAGACGCTCCGTTTTGTTCGTAAACTTCATTCTAGCGATGTGTCGATTTCGATCGATCACTTGTAAATACAAGTTATGTATCATATTGATATATATTATTAAAACGATATATCGTTCGATTCTTACATTAATTTATCATTGAATTTAATTTAATATTCACTTATACTCGTTTCATATTCACATTAATTCGGCATTGAAGACGTTTCCCGTATTCGCTATTCTCGCCTTGAAATCGACACGCAGAAATAACGTAAGATAATCAAGTTAATTTATAATTCAAGAGATTGTTTCAAAATGTCGAAGAACTGTGTATAATAAAATAATAAAATTGAAAATGTTATCAGTGGTCTCCGCGTGACTCTATTTCTATCAAATTGAACGAGAACGATGGACAACTTTTGTTCACGTCGTCGTTGAAGTTAATTACGTGAATCTTTGATGTATAAATAATTGTAATCGAAGATGAAGTATCTGTCGGAGCGTCTTCGTTCCAAAGTGGAGCGTTCAGTTCACGCGATCTTTACCGTCGCCCTTCAGTTTCCGATTGGATCTGTTCCTGCATCTCTCCGTCGAAATCCTAAAGCCGTCGAAGCCAGCGAGCAGGGGTGAGGTGGTCGTTGGGTAAGGGTTGCAGTCCGTTTCCCCCTCCAAGGGGTCGCGCAACTGTTGCACCTCGACCATGTGCACACCTCTAGGGTTCCACACCACCGAGAATTACAATCGGGGCGGTTTCTCTACTTCTCGCGACAACAACCGGCCTGACACTAATTTCCCTCGAACCCGCTCTCGCTTCTTTTCCGCGGAGACTGCCGTTGGTTTCCGGTTATACCCCACCAGATCGCTCCCCCGCTCGTTTTACAACTACGTTTACGTGGCTGTGTGCGTCTCTCTCTCTCTCTCTCTCTCTCTCTCTCTCTCTCTCTCTCTCTCT